TGGGTCTCCTCCTGGTGGGACGTGTCTGGAACACCTCACCAGGGAGGCGTCCAGGAGTAATCCTAACCATAGATGAGGGTGGGAACGTAGATCAACCAGTAAAGTGAGAGCTTCGCCTTTTGACTCAGCTCTCTCTTCACCATGACAGACCGGTACAGCACCCGCTTCACTGCAGACACCGCACCTATCCGCCTATCGATCTCTCGCTCCATTTATCCTTGACAAATAATAAACAAAAAAAAACTTGCTTACAACATGAAATATTTACACAAAGACCCCTCCACCCCCACCCCCCGAAACACACGAATACATTCAGGTGCGATACGATGAAAGGGAGAGGGGAAGCTATTTGATAGTAAACCAGAATCCTGGTTTTGAGTTGCAGCCTCACTCAACTGTGTCAGTAGGACTTGAGCAAAAGGTCACACACTCCCATTAGTGTGTGTGTGTGTGTGTGTGTGTGTGTGTGTGTGTGTGTGTGCATATATGAGGCCTTCAATGAGTTCCTTTGACAGAGTCACATTTCAAAGTCACAGTGCTTTGGAATAATGGAAATAATGACTCTTCAGATTGGTAAGGTTGGTAATTAGTAGCTGTGTGTAGTTTCAGGTTGCACAAGAGAACAGCTCTGAAGAAGGAAATATTCAGAGCTGCATGCTCCATGAACAGTTTGCTGTGGAATAACTGTGAATCATTGTGAATGTGTGCGCACCTTTGCAACTCCTCTTTTCTGGAGTGTAAAGAATTCTGCAGCAGTGAGTTTTCCTGGCTGCAGTGCTCCAGTCTCTCCTGCAGTCGGACGTTTTCCTGTTTCAGAGCTTCACACTCCTTCCTGCTCTGCTCCAGTTTGGCCGTCCGCCTGGCCAGAGTCTCCCGGAGCTTCTCATTCTCTTTCTGCTTGTCTGAAGGGAATAAAGTTGTAAAGTAAATGTTTACATACCACTGAAACATGTGTTATTTTACGATAAAATAGTGAAAACTTAAACATATAATTGGTTGTAAACATTTTGCTCATTATCAAGAACAAGGTTATGGCTTTTGAATCTACAAGGCAGTAGTTTGATAGGTCCTTGAAGGATTGGTGGGGAGGACAAGGGTGAAGGGGGGAACATACATTTAGGGGCCATAAATGTTTGCAGTTCTAGTCAAATGTGTTACCTCGAGATCCTACGCTGAGCTGTTCCTTTAGGGTTTGATTTTGTTCCCAGAGATATCGCACCTCGTTAACCAGCTGGCCCTGCTCGTCATTGCCGTGAATAAAAATGTTTGTGGCTGCTAAATTAAAAACAGCACAGACATGTTTGTCAGTCAACAGTCAAGGGCATGACTACAGTGGATGAGAGAAAACAGAATTCATATGCACAGAGTTTAAAAATAGAATAAAACGGTTGTGTTAAATGCAGACCTGGGTCTTTCTCCACCTCAGCCAGCCTCCTCTCCAACTGTTCCCTCAGGCAGTCGTTGGTGCGAATGCTTTCTTCGAGACGTTGTCGTAAAGCTCTGATTTCCTGCAAATGTTCTGCCAGCAGGTCTAATAGAAACGTGCACAAAGGCCAAATGAAATGCACAATCAAACACTATCACAATACAAATCAACCTATTAATGACATGTAATTACCTGAATTCATCATGTGAGGCTGTTCTCCAGCTGTCTGTGGGGAGCTGATGTCTCCGTCTTGTTTCTGTGCTCCTGTTTGAGGCCCTGAGACCTCCTGGTCATGGCCCTGCTCCTGCTCCTGGTGGTGAGAACTGGCCTGGGCCATAATTGAGCGATGCAGTTCTAGTTCACTGCGTAGGGTGGCGTTGAGCTCCTCCCTGCTTCTAAGCTGCTCCTGCAGGAGTCCGTTCTCCCTCTGAAGGTCTTGCAGTCTGCTGGCATTGTTGATGTGGTCAGACACAACTTTTTCCTGAGCTCCTCCTACAGGAGGGTCAGCTGCTCCTATCCTGTAAGTGTAGTTCTGCTGGCCTGAGCAGGAACAAGAAGACAATTAATTAAATTTGACTAATTAACTTAAACTGATCGTATTTTTATTAAGTCTGAACATCTTTTATTTAGTAAACTTTTAATGAATGAAAGAGCCATTTTGTCATTAACTACTACTCAGAATCACTCAATCCACAGAACCCCAAATTAAAAATAGATAATGTTCATTTTTTGATTGGAACTGAAAATGTTTAACCACTGAAACGTTCAAAAGCAACAGGTACGTTTTGAGTCCACATCCAGGCATTAGACAAGCTTTATACAACTCTTATACCCTTTGCTGTACCTTTCCACAGGGAAATACAATTTGAGGGGCAGAACAGGATAGGCACCACTGAATAATGCAACTTTAAGTGGAGGTGCATCGAAACTGGACACCTGCTTCGTCCTTGGCTGGGTTGATTGTCCTGCATGACGCTCCAGTGCTACAGCTGAGTGTAAAATAAGTGCTGTTATAGGCACCAACTAGAGTGGCTGTGACAAAAGCTTTGATAAAGCAAACTGAGTTCATCTAGACTCCCACTAATAATTTAACTTTGTTCTCAGACACACAAATAATTCCAAGATTAGGAATATATTTAATAATAACTGCATCGTTAATCTCTGTGTCCCTGTGATGGACTTGCGACCTGTCCAGGGTCCCCTGCCTCTCGCACAGTGACTGCTGGACATGAGCACCAGTGACCCCCGTGACTTGAAAAGGAAGAAGCAGGTAAAGATAATGGATGGATGGATGAATGGATCTTACTGTGTGCTCGACTGCCACCTTGTGTGGAGGGGCTGCTGTGACAGGACGAAGACATGTCTGAGTGGAACAGATCAGAGTGAGAGCTGTGGTGGCTGCTGGGACTTCTGCTTCTGATCTGACTCTGCAGGCTCTGGATGAGTCTGTTCTTCTCCTGCAGCTCTTTAGCCAACCTAAGAGGAGAAGAAATGAGACACTTGAATACCAGTGTGTTAAGATCCTCAACCACAACATGCCAAACTCATCATCTTGACAGAAGAGTAAAAGCACCATCCATAAAGAAAAAAAAAAAAGAAACTCAAAAGACATGAGAAGTCAAGAAAAACTATTTCTAAAAGAAGCGTTTTCAGATGACTTTGGTGGAAACCTACAGCTGGAAGTTTAGAGCACAGCAAACGTCACGCTGTCTGTCGGGGTCAAACCCACTCACAGGTCCAGCTGCTCCCTGGTGCTTTCAGCCAGGTGGAGGTTTTGCTGGACGAGGAGGCTGATGTGCTGATGTTGCAGCTCTCTCTCACCCTCCAACTCCAGACGCAGGAAATCTATCTCCTGCTGGATTCTAGACAGGCTATCAGGAGGGTCGTTCATGTTCTCCTCATTGGAGAGAACTGAGTGAGATGCCTGCTGAAGCTCGCTGAGACTGTTGCCAACAGTAATAATGTGTTAATGTTTATCACACTGATCAACTCTGAAATGACATTGTATGAAGTACTCAAACTGAAACTTCTAATTTGAGTATTTCTAAATGCAAACAATATAAATCTTTTTATTTATTTTTATTCTGAGCATCAGTTAGCTTGACCCTTCTCATATTAGTCTTCAAACCGTTAACAACTTTTGTATGTGCATCAGTACTATACTTAAAAGTGCAGAGGCAGAAAAACGGAGCTGAAGTTGATCACAGCTGATACACATATGAAGTAGGAATCAAAGAAATAACAGAGCTGAGTCAGAGTTTACGTGTCAACTGGGAGGTGATGTGTGCAGCTCACTGTTCAAACCAACAACCCTGCTTTCACTAGGCCTGTCACGATAATAAATTTTGCTGGGCAATTAATTGTCTCAGAAATTATTGTGATAAATGATAATATTGTTTGAAATTTGACAATAATTACTAATTATTGTCAAATTTAAGAAGAAATGTTGGTTGATTTTTGTGTGTAGTATCTTTTGTTGACCACCGGATGGCATTATAAGACTGTTTGAACCGAAAGATAGATAGTGAGGGAGCGAGCAGCGTGTCTCTTTAAGAAAAATGGGAGGGAGGCCACTTGACGTGACATGAGCTGTCTCTCGGGTTCTCAAAATGGTCTGCTCAGTGAGCTATTTAGCATAGCATTTTTCACAAAAAGTTTTTAATTAAAAAAAAAAAATCAGTAAACGAGTTCTCAGCTACTTTTTGCAGAGAAAAATAACTTTTTAGACAAAGGCACGGGTTTCAACCGTGAATTTTGGAGCTTCAACAAGACAACAAGACAGAGGTTTATTCCCTGAGGTCGACCTGTTATCTTAGACCGTAGCTTAGCTTCTCAACTTAGCTGCTTTCAAAAACGTGATTTTGTACGGTTAAAATTGATTTTAAAGAGAAAGGGAGGGGTCAGTGAAGAGCACCGGAGTTGAGCTTTTTGTCATCCAGTGTCTTCAGTAGAAAGAGAGAGACACGAAGAACCGATAAAGCCGATAAACGAAAATGAGGTTGAAAATGTTCAATTATGAGATTAATTGATTGGTTTATTGCGACAGGCCTAGTTTTCATTCAGCTTTTGCACTGAACCGCTTCCATTTAGCATGTGAAAATAAGTCTGGAACCACTGACCAGATTAATTGCTTCACCACAAATCCTACATGATTCTCCAGACAGACTGCCTTGCACACACTGAGTGCTAATTGTTAAAAAAAATCTTCAGTTTCTGATTTGATAGTAAACTAGTGTAGTTTTAACAAGAGTACCGCATACGGCCCATTATATGCACATCAACAAACTAATAAACAGCAATACATAAATCTATAGCAATGGCCCACACAAGAAATACCTTATATATTATTTGACCTTGATTTGAGACTTGGACCTTGAAGCTGGGGTGATGAAAAGATTACACGACACAGTGTGTAGTAGTGGTACAAAATCAAAAAAGCTGACAGATGAAACTAGGTCAACAGCAGTACGTCATTACAAAAACAACCACACAAACAGCTTAGATAAGGCAAGAAGCTCACAGGAAAACTTTTTTTTATGAGACCAACATCAATACTATCATCTAGCATCACCTGAATGGTAACACAAATAGTTTAAAACAGAGCATAGAAACACTAATATTTGACATTAACTTTAAAAACAGAAATTACTAGAGCTCAACACATCAGAGTGATAAAAGCTCATCATATTACGATTTTCTTCAATCATTTTTCAAGTATTACAAAAAACTAAATGCTCATGCCATGCACAATATTCACATCACTGAAGTAATAATGTGATATTTAGGTAACATGTTACCTGTTAGGTAACATGTTAGGTAACAGTTATTAATGGCTGGTTAACTTAGCATTAAGAGGGGGAACAAGGGCACGGAGGAAATAAAATGTGTTTACTCAACCCAAAGTCAAACATTATATTAGGCTTTGTTGGTGTTTAGACCTGCAACAAATCTGCCAGATTTGTGCACATAAGCAACAAAATCAGACCCAAATAATCGAATAAACCATCAAATAAAAGTAAAGTGAAACATCTCTCTTTTCTGAACAAAAAGTAATTCTAGATACAGTTAGCAAGGTGCAGATTTGTGAAGAATAACATTGTGTTGGAACTACTGCTTTAAGTGTAAAGGCATTTATATTGAAATCACTAAACAGTTCCTAAATATGAAGGTGAAGTGTTCTAAACATTTTAGGTATTTGCATTTCTAAGCAAAAACATGCAAAAAATCCCCCAAAAAACAGAGAAATAAATAAAAAGTGTGAAAGAATTTGATGTACCTGTGAGACAGTTCAAGAGCTGCTGAATCCTCATTTTCCACGTGAGACTCTTAAACAGGACAAAAAAACCAACATGTCATCAACTTGTTTGTACAGTTACAAATGACTGCTCTTTGGTGCTCGTATTTTAGAAGGGTCGAAGTGGTACAGCTTCAAGTTATTTTAGCACAACACAACTATCACCTCAGCCAAAGCTTCTTTTTTTTAATTCAATGCTCATGTCCAAAAATGTGCTAAATACTAACTCAAAGTATGAAGATAAACATGTTATTAATGGTGATGCATTAAAAATATTGGCTTTTTGAAGAATACTGTAAAAAATAAATAACTGTGTAAAACCTCTGTCCAGTCGTCCCTCCAGCTTGTCTAGAAGGCTCAGACTCTTGTCCAACTTTTCTTTGATAACCTCCCCCATGAAATCGTCAACTTCGCTGGCATGCAGCAGATCTTTGAAGGCCTTGTTCAGCTCCTCCAACTGCCTACGCTGCAGATCTCCCAGCCTGCGGCTCTCCTTGATCTGCTGCCTCAGCTGAGACAGCTCCTTGGCTTGTGACTGCACCAAAGAATCCAGCCTGTGGAGAAGAGAACATTCAATAAACTTGACGGCAACTGTTAGATTTAATTGTTCAAAAATGTGTGCGGCTTTAACTGAGAGCAAAAACTACTTAATTTTGACAGTACACAGAAAAGAATGTTGACCTGGCAGGTGATGTGGAGTCGCTGCGTGTTTGCTGTAGTTCATTCGTGTTTTGGTTCTGTGTCTTCTCCTTCTCCAGGTCCAAATTCAGACGAGTAGCTCTGTCTTTCACTGGCTGGTTTTCTGCTTCATTTGTCTTTCGTAGTTGCCCACTCTTCTCTTGGTTTACTTTTTGTGTGTTGTCCTGTTCCCTGATGCTGAGGAGATCCGATGTGTTGGCAGCCACGTCACTGGTGAGGGAGTTCCTCCGCAGGAGACTTTGCATTTGAAGGATGAGTTTTGTCTGGTTTTCAAGCTGGACCTTCAGCTCTCTGACTTGTGCTTGAAGCTGAAGAGGGTCCTCTGAAACACCAAACTCATCATACACCTGCAGGCCTTTCAGACTGACCTAAACACACAAGGTGGTTATTAAAACAAAATGATCATATTATTTAATAGAGTAATACTGATGTTCAAAAAATGAGTACCGTATTTGCAGAAGACTTGTTCAAGCTAAACGTTTTCAAATGAATAGCCAGCTCAGATTAGAACATGTGACTTTTATGATTTTATAAACATGCTCACAAATAACACATGCACTGAAAGAGACAAGGTTAGGACTGATTAATAAATTATTATTCAGTAAATAACCAATAATAAGCCTACCTTAGCTGAGCTGAGAGCTGGGGAACTAGGGTACGGAGTGCTGGAGGTTGATTCCAAGTGTTCCGTGGAAGAGAAGTTGGCTTGTTCATGTTTGAACAGTGGAGGCAGACTGAACGGACTGCAGCTGTGATTCACACCCACCTCTAGATCTGGCAACACAGGAAGACAAAGACTTTAGACTAAGAAATAAATCCATCACAAAAAATAAGGATACTGCCATGCGCAGAAACAAATCATCTGACAGAGTAGGACTCATAAGACAAGAAACAAAAGTGATAGGTTAATAAGTGCTCAAAAGACATCCCAAAACTTAGAAACATGCAATTATTTATTAATGCAAATTCCATTTGGGTGCATAGGGCAAAAGAAATCTCAGATGAAAACCAGAAAAAAAGTGCATGTATTATGAGACCCAATTGAAAACACCCTAGTTCCCTCCTCATGCACACATAAGAGTGAAAGGATCTGTCCACATGTGAGATTAGTGTCCACTCAGCAGACAGACATGCAGTCTGCCTGTAGGCTGTCTACCTGTGATACTGTTCTCTTCCCTATCGTTCTCACTCTTGCCACTGGTTTCGTAACCCAGGTCCTGCAAATCCACCTGCACGCTTTTGTCACCCTGCTCAGGAGCTGGCATTGAAAGCAATACATTTGACGTTAGAAATAAATTATTTAAAGCATACTAAATAGTATAACTCTGCTTTATATATTTCTTATTTTATTTCGGATGAACAGTTTAAATTTTAATATGCACACATTAGCAGTATCACAACGAAATTAAAAATGTCATCTGCTGCAAACAAAAGCAAGCGTTCTCTAACCTTTTGGTGCAGTTTCAGGAGAGGGCGTCTTGGTAAGAGCAGTGGCCAGTTTCTCCTCCAGGGTTTTACACGTTTTCTTTTTTTCCCTCAGAGCTTTATGTAAAGTCTCCAGTTGGAGCTTAACATTTGGTGGTAATCCCTTGGCATCCTGTACCATCCTGTGGCCCTCACTCAGTTTTGTGTGGGCCTTCTCCTCCTGCAGAGCAGTCTGCAGATCAGATATCCTCTGAGAGTAATCACTGAACATCTTGACGAGGAGGCAGAGGTCTTCATGGAGCTTCAGCCCTTCTGTTTTGTTTGAAGCAGAGGAGAAACTTGCTTTAGATTTGGTTTTTGGGTGAGTAGGTTCAACCAGCTGCCTTCGCTCCAGCAGGACTCGCTGAAGATTGTCCAAATTTGTTTGCAGGTCAGGGCTGATTTCCACTGGTTTGTCAAGTGTCAACGAGCCTACATTATCACAGTGAGCTGCTAAAGAGGACACAGTAGACTCTGCTGCACTGAAGCAGTTCATTAAAAAGCTTAACTCCTGATTTAAAGTAGCATTATCAAAACCTCCTGTTGTACCAGGGTGTTCCTCAGCCGCTTCTTCTTCAATCGACTCTTCTGTTGCTGCTCTCTGCCGTGAGATGGTGTCATTTAGAGGAACACTGTTACTGATGTGGCCCAATTGTGCAGCAGAATTTGCAGCCCTCAGCTGTTCCTGAAGCTCTGCATTGAACCTACTCTGTTCCAAAAGAGCCTTTTGCAAAGAGTCCGCATGTCGCTGCAGTTCATGCAGAGATTCCTCAGAATAGCTAAAGATATTTCTTGGGCTATCTGTGTCTGAAGATGCATTTACCTGATGTAAAGCACTCTCTATTTGTAAGCAAAGATCTCTAGCTTCTGGGTTTAAACTTTGGCTGTGAGAGGAGGTGATGGCTTTCTCCGCCATGTTCAGAAGCTCAATAAGATGGTTGTTAAGCTCCTCCTTCTCTTGTAGGGCTTTCTGCAACTCCATGCATCTATTGTGGAGGTCAGCAACAGAATCCACAGCACCTAAACCTGCATGTGAACCCAGTCCCCCCTGGTTATCCAAACTGCAGGCCGTCAGGTAAGCGATGGTGGACTGTGCAGCCTGTAAAGCCTTTGTATACTGGAAATTCAGACTCTCCTTTTCCTGAAGCTGAGCATGGAGCTCTTCTAAATCAGTAAGCTGCTTGCTCATCTTGTTGATAAGGACCTCCTTTTCCTGACACTCCTGGTGGAGAAGTTCAAGCTGAGTAAGAAGAGCTGACTCGCCCTGGGAGTGATTGTCTAATATTCTAGCTTCAGATCCCTTGTCAGACCCTGCTGGACTGCAGATAGTTTGAGCACATCTCAAAGTGGAGGAAGGCGGTGTGCGGAGTTCTTGTGCAGAATCAGAGTCAGTATGCAATTCCTGATCAGAACCAAAGACGTTATCCAAATTAAGATGCTGATGTGTCTCAGTTTGCATCTGGTCGTAGCTCACAGACTGCCTGCTGATGCTTCCCTCCATTTTATGCCTGACTGGCACGGGGAGGCGAGATTTGACAGCAGTCTACAATTGAAACAAACAAATGAATAAACATGCAAAACAGCAATGTAAAATTGAAAAATATTGTCTTCATAGGTTTTACACCAGTATAAACCTACCCTGTGTCTTGTGACAAGCTGCTTTGCCCTCTTGCTATGTGTCTGATGTTGAGGTTTTGGACTATCCATCTCCTCTGCAGTGCTGACAGAATTCTTTCCATTTGACTTTTCTGCTCTTTCCTTCAACAGTTTGCTGTCCTTAAAATTGTGATTAGGTTCAGCTTGCAGAGTTTCCAAACTCTTTCTCAGTTCAGCCTGTCCATCGCTGCTGTTCCCTGAAATATCTACGCTCTCTTTTTCTTTACACTCCGTAGATTTCTGTTCCTTAAGGACACCCTGCAGCTTTGCATTTTCAGATCGAAGACGTAGCAGCTCCTCTCTGTAATAAGTAAAATTTCACAAAAGTTTAAGAAGCTTGCTGTTAAAATTGAAACTATGAAGTAGGTTCTGAACTTCGCTGAAGAATAAAACCCACCTCAAATCCACGACTGAGGTGGAGCCACAATCCGTCAGCAGAGATTTAAGCGTCGGTACATCCGTGTTCCTCTCTGTGTTTTCTCTGGTGTCCATGAGGCTTGTGTCAGAGTGAGCATGCTCTCTACTCTGGCAATACCAACTGTCCTTGCCGTCATTAGGCAACAGTTTTGCAGCTGTCATCTAAAAATAAAAGTTTAAATTATCATAAGGCATGCACAAAAGAAGATAACTTACAATTCTATTTAAATAACATTGTTTATTAAGATTTTCAGATAGTACTTTAGGTATTAAACCAATAAAAAACAAACATTTTATACCTCTTCTGTGTCCATGTTTGTTTGGCTCTCCTTATCCTGATCAGGAAGACGTACCCTGTTACTGTGAGCCAGTGGTTGCATCTCATGCGTCTTCTCAAGCTGTTAGAGTAATGGGATGGAAGGCGAGTATGACACACATGGCTCGGTAAAAGAAAACTTAAAGAGGGAACAGAATCCATAAAACACTGCACAGCAACAGCAGAATGGCATGATGTGTCTAATGTAGCATGGCGAAGAGAGACCGATTTATGGGACACAGAGATAAGAAAAACAGGGACTGATTAGGAAAAAGAAGGATGGAGAAAGAGGACTGTTTCTTGTATAAATGCAGAGAAACGAGACAAGTAGTTCTACCACTAGCTAAAAGAGCAGCGTTAAGATGTAGGTCAAAAGGGTAAAAAGGAGCTAATCAAGGTGGATGTTAGATAATGACTCATGATTAAAGTAATTTTAACAATAGTCTGTCAACAGTTTTGTAAAAGACTGACATCACAACTTCACATTTAACTTGGTCCATTTGCAGCTGTCCTTTGAGGCTTCTAACCTGTTTGCATTGGCTTCTGCTAGTCAGATCTTTGCCCTCCTGTTCACAAGCATCACGCTCTGACTTCTCCACTTGTGACAGCCTGCTCTGTAGCTCACTGTTTGAACTTTGGAGTCCGTCCACACAATCCTGCAGATCCAACACCTACAAAACAAATGGCTGTCATTCGTTAGCACGTTAATCAAACCTTTCTTAAATTTTGCACATTGTGCATGTAATTAGCAACTTCAGGGAAAAATAAGGTACAAGTCAGAGATAAACTATTGCTCTTTGAAACAGGTGCAATTATTTTAATAAGCGTTCACCTTCTGTTTGAGCTCCTGAACAGAAAGTTGAGACAAGCTATCATCTGCGCCTTCACCCACACAGATACTCATGTAGGAAGTCTGATCTCCAATGAAACTCAAGGTGTCACCTGAAAAACAAAACACAAAATAAAGATGCACACAGTAAACACAACTCTGCCAATATTTGAAAATAATTGTAATCAGAAATCTGCATGGTAAGCTTTGTTACTCTTACCACTGTCATTGGCTCCACCAACACCACCTCCTCGGTTCTGAATTGCTCCCAAGCGAGCCTGCAGGGATGCATTCCAGCGCTGAGCATCCTCAAGCTGATGTCTCACGCTCTCCAGCTCTTTAGGATCAATCAGGTCCGTTCCTGTACATGTACAGTATGCACAGTATTACCAACCCACAGCTCTTCTGTACCATCTCGCCTTGTAAATTTGTTTTCATCATCATCAGTGATGCACATTACTCATTAAAGTTAAACAATACCAGTAGACAGAGTTAGACACTAGGCACTGAAACTTTTCAGGCAACATACAATGCTAGACTGAGGAACAGCTTCTACCATGAAGATGTTCATAAATCCCTAATCAGGATTATTAAAAAAAAATCACTGTAATGCCAATTGATTGTTGATATATGCTGCTGATTATCCTTGCTGCCGATTTATTTCATGCTGCTGTGTTCATTCATACTCATCTGCTCACACAGACTCATGTCCGTGCTGCTGTTGTTTGGCGTATTGTTTATAGTGTATTCTTAGTTTAGCATATTTCTTAGCTCATATCTTAGATCTTATTACTGTTTTTCTTTTACAATTTATACTTTTGTTGGATGTAACTGGGGCAGCACGGTGGCGCAACTGGTAGAGCTGCTGCCTCTCAGTGAGCAGGTCCTTGGTTCAAACCCCGGTCCAGGGGCCTTTCTGGGTGGAGTTTGCATGTTCTCTCCGTGCATGCGTGGGTTTTCTCCGGGTGCTCCGGTTTCCTCCCACAGACCAAAAACATGCATGTTAGGCTGATTGGTAACTCTAAATTGTCCCTAGGTGTGAATGAGAGAGTGAATGGTTGTTTGTCTCGTTTGTCTCTATCTCCCTGTGATGGACTTTCGACCCGTCCAGGGTGTACCCCACCCCTCGCACAGTGATTGCTGGACATGGGCACCAGCAACCCCCGTGACCCAAAATGGAATAAGCGGGTAAAGATAATGGATGGATGGATGGATGTAACTGGGACACTGTATACACAATTTCATTCCACATGTATCACACGTGATGCGAATGACAAAGACCATTGACCTAATTTTATAGGAAATGACTTGTGTTTAGAAAATAACATGATAAACCCAAAATAAATTACATTTCATAACCTTTTATTATAATTCTGTGGAAAAGCTAAATTTTGAAAAGTGAAACATTGATCAGATTCAGCCTCATTTGGCATTCATGCAAGACTATTCTTAAAGTTTATATGCATGTTTGATTGAGAATGGTATCAGAAAATATGCACCAATGTTTATAAATATACATGAAATATGTACAATACTAAAATATAATAATATAACCAAAGGTTGAAACGTGTATATTTTATCAGAGCTAAATAAACCCATTCACTTGACTTACAGGCAGAAGGATCTTGAGTGGGCACGTTACTTACAGATGACCTATTTAAACACCTGACGCTCTGTAGAAAGCGATGTGGGAGGAGCTTGAACTTAAAGTGCATGCTGGCGTGGGCATACTCATGCATGTAAACAGACCCTAGAGTTCTGTCGTTCAGGCAACAACCTCAATGATAAGCAACACATTTATTCTAAAGGCTGAAGTCATAATGCATCCGAAAGAGTAATGGTGCTACCGGGTAAATATTACCGTAGTCACAATACTTTCTGGATTAGGATTTATTTGAGAAATAATAATCTTAAATTGAATGTACATTATCATCTAGTTCCATCAGAAAACAGTATCAAAACCTTACATTATTTTATTGTAGTTGTAATATAATAGCGTTATGTCACTAAATTTGAAATGATGTGACAGATGGGAGGAAGGGTTATGTAAGTAAACAGACAGCTATTAGAGAGAGGTCATGCCTTGGAAAATGTTTTAAATGAATGGTCCAAAAACAAGCAGACAGCATGATGACAGTGAGAGACAGACAGGCTAACAGTAGTCTTTATTTATTATTTAATAGAAAGACAAACAGTGCAGATGATGTTGATGGTAAAACATACATTTACTTAGTAACAGTGAAATGACTTGCAACTCTGATACAAACAAAAACATGCAGATGAGAAAGTAGTGAAGTAAAGAACAGTGGATAGACGGGCAACATAAAAAGTGAAGCTGACAGGTGTGCACAAAATGTGAAAAGACCATTAGGGACATCAGCAAGATGTAATATTTCAGTACAAATAGTGAAAAAATACAGGAGATGAGAGATGTCATGTAGCTAAGGACATGTAAACTGACAACATTTGTTCATTCTTCACTTTTTAATATCTTTAGTTATCATGCTCATCTACAACCCAGTGTGTTTGCACTGCACCTTCTCTGAGTTTGGCCCTGTGTATCTCTTTCTCCAAGTCATCCCTCAGCTCCTCATTAGTTTTGATGCTGTCTTCTAGCTGCTGCCTGAGAAGCTGCACTGCTGTCAGTTCCAGCTGCAGAGCATGAAGACGCTGAGCACTGCAAAACATACAAGTGTCAGAGTAGAGAGTGACTCCTACAACCTAAAGTAGGCCACACACGTCAACAAATAGTAGATATCAGATTATTAATAGCTTTATGCTGATCAGCCCTTCTTGTTGCACCCCTACCTGTCCTGCTCCTTCACAGTCCTAACCAAGCTGGAGTAGAGCTGTTGTTCCGCTCTAAGGGCTCTGTTTAGAGCATCATGCTCTTGGTGTAAGACTACAAAGCTGGGCAAAGTCTACAGGGTAAACAAAGTTTGCATTAAAGGCTGTGCACTGAATATAAAATGTTGTTTATGTGTTGGAAGGTAAGCAAAGCTTTACTTCTTGCTGGCTGTCTCCTCCTATCATTGTTCTCTCTCTCTGAGGGAGTTCAGGTAGGGACCTCTCCATATCGGAGCCAATCACACAATCCTGGGTGTTAGCTCGGCTGTGACCCCCCTGACCGAGACGCTGGTGGAGGACCTGCTCAAAGTAAAAATTAACTGTTATCTCAGCTAAAAACAAGTCTACAAAATTTAAATGTCATCTAGAGAAAATCTCTTTAACCATGACTATTATAAGCTTCAGTAAATGATTGAAGTTTGATCCTGAATAGACAGAACCTTACATTGATAATTTCCTCCTTGGTCTTCAAAGTGGCAGTCAAGGAATCGATGTTAGCAGCCTGACCTTCAATGCGACCCTCAAGCTCAGACAGCAATGACTGGAGGTCAGCCAGAGAAATCTGGAATTAAAAAATGCACAGGAATACAGGTTATAACACTTTTAGTAATACAATGTCAATACTGATGTAAGAAACTAATTGCACTCACTAACCTTGAGTTCATTTTCCCTCTTCAGAGCTTCGTTGAGCGCTTTAGTTTTCTGTGCCAACTCCTCCTTTAGGACAACTGTTTTCTTGGAAAGTGGGTAGTTCTCCTGCTTATCCTCACTACTTCTCCTGGACAGCTCAGCTTGAATCGATTAGAAATGGAATCAAATGTTAGAGCAACACGAACTTAAAATCTCCAGTGTGAGGATTTAAAGATCTCAAGATCTTACCTTCCCTTTCATCCAGCTTTACTTGCATGATCTGGATGGTTTGCCTAAGCTCCAATACATGATCCTGTTCCGTCTTCCGACTGATCTCTGATAGGAACTGGTCTCTCTCCTGACCACGCTGCAAAAGCTTCTGCAGAGTTTCAAAATTCACAAATAAGAATCCTCCAAAATGGACAACATTTTAAGATAGCTTAGAAGTACTTTGAGCACATAATGAAGGTAAACACGTTTTATTCTTGTTTACAATTTAATGCCTCATTGCTAATATTTTAAGTGAAGCACTGTTTAAAGAGCAAAATGAGTCCAGATGATCTTACGTCAATGAGGCTGTCTTTGTCTGCAAGCAGAGCTTTGAGTTCTGAAGCCTCTAAATAACTCTTTTGGACTGTTGAGGAGATTTGCTTCTCAGCATTAGCAAGCTCCTGTTGCTTCTCAGCCAGCTGCTTCTTCAGTTCCTGAATCTCTTGAGCACGCTCAGACAGCATGCGGTTAAAATGCTCAGCAGACTCCTTAGATGACAAAACAGGAGCTCAAAGTAATGATTTGAGAGATAGTTGCCCTCACTCTGCACATGTTTAAGATTTTTGCATCAATGTCAGTATAAAATATATTCTTAGCTATATGTTTAACTTATTTTGCTGTTTTACACAATTTTATTTTTTTCTGTTTGCAAAACTATTTCATTATTTATCAATTACGTTTCTTAAAAATAAAGTTTCTATAGAGATCAGTAAAAGCTCTGTGAGAATTTTGTATGTAAAAACTAACCTTGACAAGTTGATCCTTACTGCTAATTGTAGCCAGCAGCCCCTCCACAGCACTCTCATTGTCAGATACTAGTCTTTCTCTGGCTTTCACAGCCTCAGCCAACATAGCCTCTGTGACCTTTAACCTCTGGCCCATTTGCTCAGTGAGGTCCTGTGCATGTGTCTGTGACTGGTTCAGCGTAGATTCAGACATTTCCTAAATAAGAATGATATATTTAGAGAAATATGTACAGAAGGTGCACCTAAGAAAACAGTAGATGTAATCAAATGTTGACCACAAGCACAATGACGTGAAATAGAAATTTGCAAACTAACTTCCATATCTTTTGTCTTGCCCTCCAATAAGAGCTGCAGCTGGTTGATGATAGTGTCTTTTTCTCTCAGAGATCTGTTTAAATTGTCTTCTACATCTTGCTTGGCTCTCTGGAGGTTCTTTAAAGTGTTTGCAAGATGCTCCAGCTCCACATCTTTCTCCTTGATTAAACTGTCAAAACTCTAGGGGGGAAAACAAACTGAATAACCTCAAAATAAAACAACTATTGACTTGATTTTAACTTCTTTTTTTTTTAGACTTTTTAAAAATCAGATAAGATCAAAGTTGCTTACATTAATGGTTTCCTCATTATGAGTGAGTAAATTATTGAGTCTATCTAAATCTCTTTCCTTTTCTCTTAGCAACAGCTGCAGATGGTGAATCTCGTTGTCTTTCTCCTCAATGGCAGCAAATTTCTCATCTAGTGCTTGCTGCGATAAAACAAGAAGAAAAATGCTTGAATCAAATCATAGTCAGCATGATGACAGATGTGCAAATAAACAAACAAAACATAGATTTTCCACCTCCAAAGCATTCTCTTTTTCTTTCAGCCTTTGCCGCAGCTTGGTAAGCATGCTGTCATTACTGCCAGGACTTCTGTTTTGCTCCAAGTCTCTGATCATACTTATGTACTCCTGATAAACACGGAATGAAAATGTCCAAAAATTATGCAAAAGTAAATAATACAAGGAATTCATGTCTAAAATAAAATGTAAATAAATAAACGTGATTTCATCTTTGGATCAAAAATCCATCTTTATGTGTCATATCACCTGTAGCTGCTGCTCTTTATCAGACAGGGTGGTGGTGAGTCTCTGGACGGTGGCTTCATGTGTCTGCAGTTTTCTTTTTGTCTGGTCCAGCAACTCCTGGTACTGCTGCTCAAGAGCACTCTCCCGTTCCTTCATCTCACCACTCAGCTTCTTCAACTGATTGTTAAGATCCTTGAAAAAAATATACAGACAACAGATGAGATAGTTTACAATACATTCAGAAAAACAACATTAAGCTATGTTACATTTAGGGCTTTGTCTCCTTTCTTCTTCTGTTGCTGCAGGTCTTCCAGTTCCACATCGAGCTGGTCCTTTGTCTGCTGCAAGTCAGCCAGCTCCTGCTCTTTCCTGTCCAGGGCACGCTGAAGTTTTTGGGCTTCAAGAACCTTGACATGGTGTTCTCCCTGAAGTTGAGCCAACTCTGTTTGTTTTTCCATCAACAGGCTTTGGTGCTGTTCAGCTCCCTGAAAAAAAAAAAAAAAAAATTGTTCATAATTTAATGTTCTCAAGTTACATTTTATTAGCAGCGTATTTAACGTATGTGCAGGCACACAGAAAAATGACACAAACATTCAGTAAGCATGTAATGTTGAATTAGGCATTGATGCTCTGTATGGTTTATTTTGGAACTACTGGTGCTCATGACTTGCCTGATATCTCTGTAATTGGGCTTTATGTGCTGCCTCTCTAGCCTTAGTCAAAGCATCATCTCTGTCCTCAATCTGCTGACAAAGTTCCTCAATCTGTAACACACAAACAAAATCACTTTTAGAACAATGGATGACACAGAATACTGACAATAAATTAACATGTGTTGCGTATATCATTCTAAAGTACAGTTTGTTCAAAAATGCATTTTTTTCTTACCTCTTTTTCCTTTTTCCCAAGGACCTGAGTAAGACCCTGGATTGTTTTATCTCGCTTCAAAGCATTTTTCTTCTCAGAGTCTAGTTCATTCTCCTGCTCCTCCAACTTCATTGACAGGCTCTGTTGAAATTGGGCAGTATGATATTTCATACAACATACTTTTTCAATTGAACTAAAAACTATTTAAAAGAATAGTATGTGTACTTATGTACCTTGTTCTGATTCTGGGAATCCTCCAGTGTTTTTGTCAGATTTTCATTGGTGCTTTTTACCTGGTTGAGTTCTTCAGTCAGCACTTTATTGATGGACTCCAATCTTATAACGTGACCCTTATTAGTGGTTCAAAAAAAACACAAAAAAAGGGGGGGGGGGGGAATCAGTGACATTAAGTGCATTAAGAAACAAAGGATTTGTCTGTCACATATTTTAATGAAAAGTACAGAGATCTACCCACATAGTACAGACATTAACTACCTTTTCTCTGACAGGAGTGAATTCATCATTAAACTCCTCTGTCAGGTCATGCAGAGACTTCCATTCTGCCTCTTTATGTCTGAATTTGGCTTTGGTAACGACACAGCCAGCATTTAACCTCTTCAGTACAGGGATACGACTGCCTGCGGGGGCAGACAATTGTTGCCTGGAGATGCAACGCAGGATCTGGATTACATCAGAGATTACAGGTGGCTGACTTGAGGAGCTGCGGAGCAGTGCTTTTGCCTGAACTTTTCCTCTTGGAACATTGGTGAGTCCATATCCCGTAGCAAACACCTTGGACTCTACCAGTTTTTGTTTGTGTGGAGCGTCAAGAGGGATGTCTAAAGAAAAGTCTCGATTCAGTGACTGCAGGGATGTGGAGTGAGCTTTAAATCTTTGTCTAGATAGCGTGCCCTTACGTTGGACAAGGTCAAGGTACACGCTCTGTGAACAGTGACGCGTGCCTGCAAGTCCAATATTCTGCATAAAGCTATCAAACCCTGCTCTTGAGCCTGGTCTGCTGCTACGAAGACCTGAGCGTGCAGGTAATCCTCCTTTACTGACAATTACATCCAGGCTCATACACCTCCTCATGCGGTTTGCCCCCTCACCACTCTCTCGTTCCATAGACTGTTGACCTTCATGAGCCGGCAGACATGCAGCTTCATCATCAGGACTGCCTGCCCCAGAGGACCTGAGCAGAGCCTTGGAGTTGGTGCTCCACTTGCCCCTACTCCCTGCATTGTTTTTGCTGTAGACATGGCGTATGCACTGGATCAAGTGTTCTTTCTCTGCCTGCAGTTTCTGGATCTGACCGCTGTGCTCATCCTGCAGCTTGCCGATATTAATGTCACACTGAATGACCTTCTCCAACTGGAACACGCATTTCCCACAAAGGAACTCTCCATGACCATCACGAATCACCTCCCGGCCCAGCACGTGGGACAGGATGACTTGTAACTTCCTCCTCCCTGATGAGCTAAAGATCCAGCGACACTGACTTCCCACCAGACGAACACCACAAACACGACACGGGTCCTTCATGAAGCCTTGGATCTTTGACATTCACCCACTTCGGTTGAGTGTAAAAAAAATTCTCACTGACTCCAAGCCATCATCCTGCCAGTTATAGAAAAGCCATCTCTCATCTTCTGCCTGCACTAACAAGCAAAGCATAGAAGAGAACGACTGAGTGCAAAGCATAAGCCCTAAGCCTCAATAATCCCTGTCTCCGCCTCTATTCCACTCTCCCCTACATTTTCAATCAGATCAAATCCTTGTGACCGTTACAGTCATCTATGTTGTGGCTGATGGCAGACCATCACAAAAAAACCTCCCAGCTTTCACGACAAGTTAGAAATGTCTGCCTCTTGGAGGCGATGAAGATACATATACGTTTATTCCTACAACGTTCATTAAAATGGAAAAAAAAATAAACACTTTGAGATTACAAGAGCTGTTTTCTAGCAAACACTGGTTTCCCATTTTTCATTACCCTTAAATCTTGAAGGAAAAAAATATTGCTGAGAATCTCTGATATTTTATTGTCCATTTATTTTTAATTTTTCTAAATCCTCAATCAGTTTTTACACATCCATATTTCACAAACACAAGGTAACACATATATATATTTTTATTTTTAAGTTTAAAAAGAACGAGGTCCTAAAACAGCAGACGAACTTTCTCCAGACAACATGGTAATCCAGTCTTAATACCTTGACGTGAGGCCAGATGCCAAAGTCTAATGAGGAACTATGGACGACAGCCAACTGACATCTTTCCATTCTTAAACTCCAACAAATTATCTACAACACCAAATGTTACTAACTTACATACTACTTTGATTACCACCGTAACACTAAACTGCATTTTCTTTAATCAACGTGCATATCTTAACTAACAATCAAAAAGATAAATTTATGATATATCCAAAAACAGACATTGTATAGCATATTTTAAAATAAATAAAAACATTAAGTGATTACTCATTGTTTTTCTCCCCAGATTTGTTTCTGAAGCAATGCAGACTTCTCTAAACTCCCATCTTTCTCCAAGTGGTAAAGTGATGCAATCGAAAAATGTTGTAATACAAAGAATTTACTAAAACAAAAAAGATTAGCCTACTCCCTTAATGTTGAAAACAGAACAATTTAAAAAGACACAAAAAGGACAAAGACCACTGAAACATAAGAAAAAGTTTCCTGCATGTATGTACATATTTGTAAAAAAAAATTATAATAAATCTTTGTTAGAAATTTGCTTTTAAGTCCCTTATCAAAAAAGGTGCCAAAACTAAAATTATTCTAGTTTAAAATTGGAGGGGGAGTGGGGGATGCTAAACATGAAATTAAATATTCAATGAGCATCCAACAACAGTTCAGATCGGGGAAATAACCAAACATCACCAACCTCCTGGTCTGGCTGTGTTTTCTCCTTCTCTTTATGCAGCGCCTCCTTTAGAGCCTGAAGGATGGAGAAACAGGGTTCACTCTGAATGTCTTTCATTTGTACAATACACAAACCAGCACTACAGTTACTGCATTTTTAGTTCAGATGTGTATAGAAAGCTCATTACAAAATCCCACCTTAAGCTCCTGATCTTGTTCTGCGATAAGATCCGACAGCTGTTTAGCTGTTGGTGCATCTGTCTCTTGGTCTGTGTTGCCCTTCTGAAGGATCAAAGCTTCTTGGTTCTTTAAATTAACCTTGAGCTGCTCAATTATACTAGTATGGGGGAAAAAAAATCAAAATAGTCCTGCTTATTTTATACAGAGAATAAAAGTTTTTATACATTTGTAATATTGCGTTTTCCTTACTTGTCTTTCTCCCGCAGAGTCTGCTGCAGGTCTTGGATCGTTTTGGGAACAGCAGGTGTAAAGGCACCTGATGAATCGAGAACCTGGAGCTGCTTCTCCATGTTTATACTCCTAAGCTTCTCCTGTTCAGCAATGGCTGCCATGCTCTCGACCTCCTCCTCTGCTGTTCGCAAACACTAAAACCAAAAATCAACAAATTAAACTACCAAATAAATTGATACATTCATACCCAGGATTTTTTTTGTACTGCAAATTTACTTTGATGATTATGATTACTAGCAAAAAAGAAAAACAAATGTTAGTGAACTAGCAGACTTTACAAATACTTTTGGTTAATTTACTAATTTCAAACTGAAACACATCATAGTATTATTACAGCCATTGCGCATTTAAGAAAATGAGAGGGAACTTTTAATGTTATTTTAAAAAGGATAACATTTCTACTTTATTTTCAGTCTGCCAAAATGAATTTTGACTTGCCTGTTCCAGGTCAGCTATCCTTTTAGTGAATGCATCTCTTAATGCATCCATCTCCCTCTGTGCTTGCTCTCTCACACGATGGGGTTCTCCTGATTCTCGACCCGCCAAACTCTCTAAAGCTTTACTGCAAGAAAACAAACATCCATAGAAGACATTTTGTTAGTGTGCACTTATGTTCTCAATCACAGGCAACCCAATAATCTGACATTTTACATTGTAAAAACCACTGAAAAAGGAAAATATGTGATTTCAACAAACCAAACAAAACAATATATATACATACGATGCTGATACAAGAAGCTCTTGTTTCTCTGCCAGCTCTCGCTTCATAGATTCCAGCTCCACCTTCAGCTCAATGTTCTAAAAAAAAAACATTACTTTAAAAAAAACAAAATCATATGGAGAGTTCACAAAAAATATAACAAAACACATTTGCTGAAGTTGCAGTTTCATTGTTTGATATAGCTAAAATAATAACTTTAAAAATTTGTTTGGAAGTTCACACACAAAATATAATGATGATGATATTAATGATAATTAATTACTGATATAGGATTAATGATATATGATGCTTAAAATGTATTCTTAAATTAAATACATCAACAAACAAAAACTTCTCAAAGAGACCAACAATGCTAAAAAAAAGTTTAAAGTCCATCATCTTCTTTGTCAACAAATTGTCATCAGTTTTATCCATTTAACATAATCTCATTTATAAAAATGAGTTCCAACTGGATATTTTAATGTACTTACTTTTCAATAAGATAAAAAAAACAAAACGAAGTATAACCGCAATGAAAAAAAGATGTTGAGATATAATATAAACCCATTTATGTTTAATTTCCAAACTAATTTTAAGACAGTACAAAATGTTGTTTTGAATTTACTTCACGTCACTGATGGTGCAACACACATGCACTGTTGTTATAAATAGTACAATAAATACAACACCGTTTTGAAAATGTCTTCAGTGGAGTCGTCACATTTCTGTTGCATGCGCTCCTCCATGAAGTAAATCCGGAGCTTCAAGTTAAAGTTTTCTTTCTTCAGAGCAGTGATTTGCTGTTGACAAACATAACACAAACTGTTTTAATATACAAGAAACAATGAATTTTTGTTAAATACATATGATATTCAATTTATTTAAGGAAGCAAGGTTCAGAAAAGAATAAAGGTAGAAAAATAAACTGACAAACTTAATTTATGGAGAAAAGCCATAGGACGTAGAAAAGGGCATTGTGCAAGATTATTTTTAAAAGGAAGGGAGGCTTGTGTGTGTGTGTGTAGTAGACTGTGCATCATTGTGCTGGAGGCTCAGAGCTGCATACATCTGGTAATGGGGGTTGGGTTCACAAGTAAGGGGGGGTGGGGTGAAGAAGTCTGGACCCCTCTGTAAACCTCTCACGTAGCCAGCCAAACAGTACAAGCTAAATATCTGAGCGTGCATTCCAATCAAATGCTGAAATATAGACTTTAGCTCACCTCAATCCTCCTTCTCTTCCTCCTACACACAAACTTCATCACTGAATGTCCATAAATGGTATGTCTTGGTTTTAAGCAGACAGTGGATCAAGTTTATGCCCTGTGCTTTTTAGTGGGGTAAAGTGATGATCCCAAACCTCACGCCAAAAACGCTTAGCAAAAAGTAATAATTAACTTTAAATATAGTAATTAGTTAGCTTATAATTAAAATAAAACATACAGCTTCTACAAAGCACTCACGTTCTCATAGTCCTTCATGGTCAGAGCTTTGATGGGCGACATCTTATCAGGGAAGGTTGGAGCTGTAAAATAAAAACAGAGATACATTTTTGCATCTTATAAAACCACAATTTCAGCAGAGAATTATTAGCACAGAATCCATTTTGTTCATAGGTATAACTCTTGTTTTCTTTCACGTTTACCCTCATCCTGATCATTTTAAAAAGAGAAAGGAGTAATGTTTTTGGTGCCCAGAGTGAAACAGCTTCTGGAAAGCTGCCCCGTTTAGACCAAGTGACGCAGTTCAAAACTGATCATGTAACAGCATGATCAACAACAAATTTCACAACACATCAGTCTTGACCCACGGTTTGCTCCTGGTTGATAGGAAGCACCTCATTATACATCTTTCTTACAGTCTTATTTGCTTTTTTGTTTACATATATTTTTTTAATTCAGTAGCTGTTGGATTTTCTTATCTTTCCTTCAGAATATGTAAAAGCTTTTAGTTTAAACATAAATCTAAACCTATAAATAGTATTTTCATTAGTTATTTATTCCATAATGCATAGATGTTTCTATTATGACTGGCCCCATTTTCCATGTATCTGCAATCTGAACTTGATTTAGTTTACACTATAGAAGTGCTCAAGAGAGCGGCACAGTGGCTCAGTTGGTAGAGCTGTTGCCTCTCAGCGAGAAGGTTGCCGGATCGAATCCTGACAGGGGGCATTTCTGGGTGGAGTTTGCATGTTCTCTCTGTGCATGTGTGGGTTTTCTCCACGTACTCTGGTTTCCTCCCACAGAACAAAAACATGCATGTTAGTCTGATTAGCAACTCTAAATTGTCTATAGGTATGAATGAGAGAGTGAATGGTTGTTTGTCTCTATGTGTCCGTGTGATGGACTTGCAACCTGTCCAGGGTGTACCCTGCTTCTCGCACAGTGACTACTGGATATGGGCACCAGTGACCCCCGCGACCCGAAAAGGAAGAAGCAGGTATAGATAATGGATGGAAGTACACAAGATGATACATTTTTACAAACTTCTCTCATCGAGATTGTGGGTGGTCCAACAAGTTATTCCATAACATTTATTGATAAAACACAAGATGCTGGCCTAGATAAGTAGAATGGTTCTTTAGCCACTTGCACGTAACCGTCTTAAGACCAGTATATATTGTTGACAAACAAGTGTCTAACTAATAAATAGAAATGGGCTGTATTTATTAATATCAGGAACTAAGTCCCTCATTATAACTTTGGAGACAAAATGGTTGCAGGGAACAAAAAATTACCAGCAGCATTAATTAATGCACATGAGATTTACACACCTGAGCAAAAAAAAAAAAAAAGAACAAAGGGAGATTTTTTTAAAGCCTTACAGTACCTGTCATGCTGTCTGTAGAATTCTCTCCAGCGTTTATGGAGTCTGGCAGTCTGCAGCTGGGGACAAATATATTTGTTAGTTATGCCACATTCACCCGTGTGTGGCATTTTAAGCATTATGTGAAATCATCATTGTGACCTCTTCAAAAAACAAAGCAAATGTTTGAAAATAAATAAGCAATAATAATAAAAATGAAATAAATCAAAAGATTCAAATTAAGCTCTGCGCAGACAGAGAATATTGTGGCTTTTGATAAACACGAATGCATGCTGTCTGTGCATTACTCACACTGGCCGGTTCCACTGAGCCCTGAGGACGCTCCAAAAATAGCTTAAGAATGACTCTGCTTCATCTACATCTACTCTGGCATAGCCTCCTGTGTATGTGTCTGTGTGATATATTTCTCCATTTGTGGGGATCATTGAACTGGGATTTAAGTAGTTCTACAATTTGATGTGGGGACAAAACTATTGACACCCCACAGATTCAAAGGTTAAAGGAGTTGGGATGATTACGGCTAAATAAATGCTTGATATTAATAGAAGAAATTTTGAAGACAAAAAACAATGTTTTGTGCTGATCTGTGTGTGACAACATGCTGGTAGTAGTCTAGCTCTCATGTTCAACGTGGAAGAGATGAAGAATTAAAAAAAAAAAAAAAAAAAAAAGGCTGGAAGGAACCTTCACAGCTAGACAAACAGAGTACTGTGGCTCTGGATCAGCTAAGCATCACAAGTGATGAAACAGTACCCGTTTCATCAAGTACAATGCACAAAGAAACAGCCTTACACATCTGGATCACATAATCACTTCTTTAAAAAAGTAGCTTTTTTACAAAAAGGAAAAAGTGAATATATATATA